AAATTTTTATAAAATTTCACTTCTTTTGAGACCCAACATGATATACTTTTGAAAAACTTTTTTTTTTCAAAATATTAGGGACTCCTTTGATGTTTAAGGGTCTTGAGCAACCCCTAAAATTTTTTTTTATTTAAAATTTTCTTTAATTTAGTGTTAATTTACTACATAGAACACATTTAGGAGGTGGCAGGAGACAATTTCAAAAAAAGTTGTTTTTAATATAATATAAGATATATATGTATTCTATACGTATATAAAATATATATATATATATATATATATAAACATTTATATATATATATATATATATATATATATATATATATATATATATATATATATATATATATATATATATATATATATATATGTGTGTGTGTGTAAATAATATATATATATATATATATATATATATATATATATATATATATATATATATATATATATATATATATATATATATATATATATTATATATACATATATAAATCCTAGTCGCGGTTAACAAAAATAATACATTATATATATGCATATGTATATTATATATCATATATATATATATATATATATATATATATATATATATATATATATATATATATATATTTATATGTACATATATGATTATATTTATATACTTACAAGTGTATATATATTATATATATACATATATATAATATATATATATATATATTTATATATAATATAAAATATATATGTATTCTATACGTATATGGTATATATATATATATATATATATATATATATATATATATATATATATATATATATATATATATATATATATATATATATATAATAAAATATCCTAGTTGCGGCTAATAACCTCTGCTGAATTATTGTTTATCCAGGGCCGGGGTTGTAAAAAAACCCTATATTTTGCCGGGGCTGAGGCTGGGACCTCGGTCACTTCCTAAGCTGAACAGGATCTATTCATATTTACAACAAAGCATAGACTTTTCATAGATTTTAATCTTGTATTCGTGAAATTTCTTATAAATGCTTTACAATCAATAACTTTGTTGTCTTTGTTGTCCTTCACTCTAAAAAAAAAGACAATTTCTACCTTAGGGTAGAACATGCGACATACCTATAGTAAGGTATATCTTATATCCTACCCTTCTTTTTTTTTAAAAGTATAGGACAACAAATTTATTAATTGTATACATTTATGAGAGAATTTATATATTACATATTTTACCTTAAGTTATCTTACCCTAAGGTAGATATTTCTACTTTTTTTATTATATATTATTAAAGCGTTTTTATAAAAAATATAAAATTTTTTACTTAAGTGAGTACTGTTTAATTCATCTCATTGAAACAGTTCAAGTATCACTTAATACAAAAAGATTTTGATCTTTTTAACACTTTAAATAAATGCATAAACAATTCAACAAAAGTTAAAATAGCTTATGACACGTGATACACTTTCTTTTATTGACACGTGACACAATTCTCTTTTATTACGTCGTAATTTTACTTAATTTACGTAAATTTGTAAAATACGTAAATCTCTAATTTTTTGCATTATATTTCAACAAGCGTTTAAAATTTTCGTTACATTATTATTTTTTGTTACTAACAACATAAAAATGTAAATGTGGGGGAGGGGGGTTTGATAAGATAATTTCGACAATATATCTGCTATATATTAGCATGATTTATTTTATTGTTGGTATTAATATTTATTATTGATTTAATATTATAATTAATGTATGTATATTGCCATCCATTAATAATGTATGGATACTATTATTTATATATAAGTATGTATAAATGTTAATTATTTGCACATAAATATGTTTATATAGGATATAATACATCGATTTTTAGAATATACTATATCCTTTATCAATTTAAAATTTTCGTTTTTACAGGATATATTTATATTATATATCCTGTAAAAATACTAATTTAATAACAATAATAATTTTAAGAATAACCGGAGATATATATTTTTTAAATATTTAATCTGATAATCATTTAGATTTGAGAAATTTTAAGATGAACAATAACCTTATAAAAACACAATGAGCAATATCCTAACGTAAAAATTTCGATTCTATTGTAGTTAAACTAATTTGTTAGCCTAAAAAATCCCGGAGTCAACATGTTTTAGCGGACTTATAGAGGTCACTTAAATACGTTTACTCGTAGATATTTTTTCTTTAAGTGTTGAATCACAGCATATATGTTTTAAACTAAACATGAAGCTCAAGGTATTTTAAATTTTGCAGAAACAAAAATTTTAAACTGAAAATCTTCCGTATTTTATAAAAATTGTCAATTTATAAATTATTTCATTTTAAGCGCAGACTTTCAATTTCAAAAAGGGTCAAACTCCTATCTACTATTTATATAAACTGCAGATTGATATTTAATTAACTAGTTAAAATAAAAGCTTTCAACACTAAAGAGTTTTATAAAGTTTCTTCCCGAAGACTTAAAAATCGTTCAATGAAATTTGAAAGGGAATTTGTAAAAATAACTCTGAAGCATAATTTTTTTAAGTACAGAGTAAAATATTTGAATGGATTGCCAAAAAAGGTTGCACCTGCAAAGATAGTAAATTCTTTTAAAAAAAAGTTTGTTAACGGCTGTTAAAGTATAAATTTTGAACTTTTTGCTCCTCAACTGTTACAGTTCTATTACTATTTTTTGTTGTTGTTGTTCTGATTTACTCCCAACAAGGCTGTAAGCAAACACTATAAAGTTGCTAGAATTATACAATAAAGTTACTAGAAGAAAAAAAAAGAACAGAGCTATAGAGCGGGTAAAACTACGTTTACAGTGCGTTTTTGGACTTTGTCTAGAAGAGAAAGAGTATCATTAGAAGAACCATCCCAAATATGACTACATCATTCCATACAGGTAAGAGGGTTGCTATTCATTAGTATAGGAATGTTGACCGTATTGTGATAGTTGTTTGCAGTAAATAGCTGAGTTTTGTTGGAGCTAAAATTCACAAACCACTGCAAGCTCTAATCTTTTATAGAAATGAGATCAGATTCAAGATCAGGTGAGTGTTATAAGCGATCGAAAAAAGATGACTTTTTGTCAAGAGGAATATAAAGTTGAATCATCAGCAAAAAGAGCTACTTTAGATTTTGGGTTGTCAGAAAGATCACTAATGTAGATAAGAAACAAAACAGGACCAAGAATACAACTTTTAGGTACTCCAGAGATTACTGGAAATGAAGAAGAGTGTGAACCTATTACTATCATTATAGAAAATTAAGCAAACATGTTTGCGAAGACTTATATTGGAAAGATAAGTAACGCTAACTTTTGCACTATCGATAGATGCTAGCTTATGGTGTGGCTTAAAAAAGTAATATTAAAAAAGACAGAAAATTAAGAGCTTGCTTAATTGAACATGTTTTACAATTTGAGTGCAAACTAAAGTTCTATAACCTTAAAAATATAGTTGAAAAAATGCTTTACACCATAATAACGTTTCTTTCCTCAAACTAAATTTTATAAGCGTTTTTTTCTTCTCAAGTTTTGAATTTGATCGATTTTTATTTTAAATTCAAATTCAAATTTTGAATTTGAATTTGATCAATTTGAACTCTTATTAAAGTATTAAACTTTTTTTAATTTTATTTAAGTCTTAGAAAATGATTGTTGTTTTGAATTCATGTAGGATTCAACATAAACTCAGCTAGTAAATCTTTCGCAAAATGAATAACAACAACAAGTTAAACTTATAATGTTGCATAATAGACTTATAATCAAGTAATTAAGACGGAATTTATAGATTAAAATAAACAAGAACCAAACTTATTTAATTAGGATTAAAAAATCTAATTTAAAAAATAAAAGAAATTTTTACTGATAGTCAATAAAAACTTTCTCTTTTTTTATAATATATTAAACTGTCAATAAAAACCAGATATTTCGCAAATCTGCTGTACTTCACAGAACGATTGTCATAAAGTTTGCAAAACAAAGTTTTAAAATGCTGTTCAAATAATAATAAACATCTTATAATCTATTTTTATTACTGTCAGAAAGAGGCATATGAGCTCATCATACTAATTGACCTTTGTGATCGACCAGTGGTAACTTTAGGTTTAATGGTTTCTTTTGATTGACAGGTTACCCCTTTAATTCCGTTAACAATGGTGGTTACATATGCTCCTTTATTAATCAAATATTGAGCAACTTCAAAGTTGCCTTCTTTTACAGCGATATCAAGAGCATTTTCACCTGTTAAAGTTTTAGCATTTACGTCTACACTGTGCTGTAAGAGTATTTTTATAATGTCTAACTCACCGTACATGCACGCGTAATGTATTGGCTGTAGACCAAAACCGTCAACATGATTGGGGTCAGAATCTTTGCGAGATAGTAGTCTCCAAAGTTGAATAACATTTCCTTCCTGAATCGCCATTGTAACTAAAGCTGTTTGTATTTCACCGCAGCTCATTAAACGTTTATGATTTATGGCGGGAGGATGATAACACCCGTTTTTAGCGTTTTTTGTGTTAAAACTTTCCCGCAAGAGCTCCTCTGGAAAAGATTTTGCTCTAATTCGAAGTTTTGACATTAAACTTTCGTCAAATGGTTGAAATACCGCAAGAGGTGATCGGTAAACTTTTATGTTTATTTTTCTATCCATCATTTTAACTAGCTCCAGCAATCTAAAGATTTTAAATTTAGATAAATTAAAAATTAAACATCTAAATAAATTGTATTAAAAAAAAAAAACGAAAAAAAAAATATAATTATTTATTTGTAAATTATTGTTGTAACGTAATTCAGCCAAAACTATTATTTTATTAACGTACAAGTACGATCTGATAGCGGTTTTATAAAAGCCGTCGAGATATTTATAATATCTATTGTTTAAACTCACGAGAGACTATAATCATGCTCAAAATTAGCCGCATTTCCGCAAATGTATTATTAAAAAGAAATTAAGGAATGTTTGTTATATAAGTAATTAATTTACTTTATTTCCGAAATCTTTTGTCAAAAAAGCAATTACTCCTCTTTACCCTATTTACTACTTAAATAAGAAAACATAAAGTTAAAAATTGTCTAACAAATGCACTTCTTTTTTTTAGTAAACAAATTTAAGCCGGTAAATAAATCTAGTGATTTGCAATATTTACGTTGAATGTAAACACAATACAAAATAACCAAAGAAAAGCTTTTAATCGATATTTTTGCTTACAAATATTTTAAAAACAATACCTACTTTTAAATAATATAACAATTTGCAACTCATTAAAGATCAAAATAACAATGACTGAAAAACTCTTTTATTTCTTCTTAAAATTATTTAAATATGTGAAATAATCTAATGGAAGATTAAAGTTTTAAATCTATATATAAAAAAGGTTTAAAATATTGACAAATCGAAATTAAGCAAAATAATTTTATTCAAGTGACAAAGCGGTGTTATACAAAAACTAATTTGTTTTGTTACTAATAAAATGTGATTTTGGCACTAATAAAATATTTTAAAAAGAGATATATCGATAAAAAATATAGTGAAAATGATGGCTAAAATGCTAGATTAACTGGAAATAAGTATTTATAAATAATTTTAAACAGACAATTAAAAAATAATAGTCATTTGCTAACTTAGTTCTGTCGAACTAAGTAAGCAATTGACTACAATCAGACTACAACCAGACACAACAAACAGACTTGAAAACAATATAGTTAAAAACATGGTTCAACAAACAGACTTAACTTTCTTGAAACCAATATAGTTAAAAACTGAAAAACTCAAATATGCAAGAGCTTAAAAGAACAAAAGGAAGTCCAATTGTATTGGAAGTTCGGATAATTCAAAGATAACAGACGGCATTAATTATTTTATTTGAAGGTCAATATTGCTTCTGAATCTTTATTATATCTCTATTAAAATCAAAAAACATTTTCAATTTTAAATATTAGTATTTAAAGTTTAAACAAAAGTTTTAATTTTTTTTATTATAAATATAACTTTTTTTATATAAACAAGGACCTTTTTTTTTTGCCAACTAAAAAAAAAAAAGTCATCGTTTTGTTACATCAGCCGACTGACTGTCTAAATTTGCTGACTGACTTGTCTAAAGGGTTTAGATTTGCTGACTGACTTGTCTTAAAGGGTCACATTTGCCGACTAAATGAACAAAAAATTTATTTAAAAAAATATTTTTTTTTGTATAAGCAATTTAAAATTTCCTGTTCGTCTTGTGAAATTACAGTGAAATTCTAATTGAGTTGAGCTTGTATCTAGAAGAGAAAAAACCAGTCAAAAAGACACCTGGAGAATAGAAACTTATTTTATTTCATCTTTTAATGACTTTTAAGTTTCAGGATTTAGGTTTATTAAAAAGATTTTTGATTAAAAAAAAGAAGTAAAATACTAATCATTTTTTGCAGCTTTTTTGATGTCATTATAATAAATATTTAAGGCATATATAGTTTTAAGTTAAGGCATGAGTGAGTTTATCTTTTTTATCAACTAATATTAATGTATGTTCTGATGTATATGAAGATAATTTAATTTAAATTTGTGTATACTCCCCCTGCATTGCTAACGTAAGTTAGATAACTTTGTGTTTACAAAATGAAGAGTTTTTAATTTTTTGGGGGAAAGTATAGGTCTAGCTTTGTAGAGTATGTCGATACTTTTTGATACTTTGGTATTTATAGTATTTTAAATACTATAAATACTAAAGTATGAAAAAGTATAAATACTATTTATATGGGCTTTCCAAGAAACCTTCATTTTCCAAGAAATCTTTTTATTAATAGTAGTTTAAACTTAGTTCTTTCAGTTCTTCTGATGTTAGTATTATCAGTTTTTAGAGCTGGTAGAATTTTTGGTATATTATTTTTTAGCTGATTGGAATAAAGTAAGATGTATTTTTTTTTCTGAATTAAAAAATAACTTATTTAACATAGACGTTTAAGCTTCCGAGATTCATCGACTCATAAAGGTCTTTGATGAATAAAATAGATTGTCTCGTCAGCAAGCATTATAACATTTACAGCTTTTGTTAAGTTTTTTGAAGATCAATTATTTAAATTGTAGTAGGGTAACAAGAATAAAACCTTAGAGAAATTTTTAAAAGATTTGGATATTTTTTATTTTCTGAAACAAGACTTTGTCTGTCACACAAGTAAAATTTGAAACTATCATTGGGTTAGATAAACTATCATTGGGTTAGATTTTTTATCCCACACTTTAACTTTTTTTAGTAAGATGTTATGATTAACAGGGTAGAAAAAGAGTCTAAAAATTGTCTGGTTGAGTGTTTAAAAAACGAATCGCTTTTTACTTAAATCTTTTTTTGAATGAGATATTTAAATAATGCTGCAGATTATTCGTTCAACTAGCTTAAAGAATGTAAAAAGTATGACATTTATTAAACTACTGATATCAGTAAATAAATGTTTCACCAATTTTAAATATTGGTTTAATTTTAACTGTTTTTAATTTTATCCGGTAATTCTTAGTCACATAATACTTAACAAAATACTCTTCTTCAAAACCCACTATCTTTAGGTGATAATTAAACTTCTTCAAACAATATCAAAATCTTTTAAATTTTGACGTTGTTAAAATCTTGCTTTAAAATCATGAGTTAAATAATATATATAATTTATTTCTTGTAAAGTTGCAAATAATTAACGTTATATATATATATATATATATATATATATATATATATATATATATATATATATATATATATATATATATATATATATATATATATATATATATATATATATATATATATATATATATATATATATATATACATACATACATATATATAAATAAAGTTTTCGCTTAAATTTTCAAAAATCTTTTAAATTACCCATAAACGTACTAAAAAATCTATATATCAATGACTTCGGTGCATTTGTAGAGATTTAGCATCAATTCCAAAAATGAAGCTGTGTTTGAATGACGTTATGCTGTGAAAGTCATCTCAAATTTATAATTGTTTATAAGCGAATCTACCAAAATTTCATTTAAGGATCAATGTCTTAAATTTTTGCTTTTTTAACTGGAAAGAAATTAAAGACAAAATGTCGTTAAATTAAAAAAAAAAAACTGTCCGACTTATCGATCATTTCACGTTATAAATGATTCTTCATTCATTCCTGCAATTTTCGATGATGAGCTATTTGTTAAAATACTTAAATGAGAGTAGATTTTTCAATTTTTATTTAGCCTCCTTTTCCTCGTTAAATACAATAGCAGTTTAACTGCTATTGTATTTAACAATTTATTTCAATTATTTCTAACTGCTACTTTAGTAGGGTAACGAGGGGCAAAATGAGACACTTAAGCACTAATTTATCTAATACATGCACATAAATCACATAATGCTTCACCAGTATTTTCAAATTAACAACAGCCCAAATGAGTCCAAATTGTAAATTTTAAACATTGACTCTACTTCACTTTTTTAAATGAACCAAGTGATTTTTTATGTATGATAATAGCCTAAACTCTTTAACTTTATTAAAAGCTTTCTGTGTCATCTTTATTTACGTCAAATGTCAAAGCTGCTTTTCTCAATGAGATTTCTTTTAACTTTAACATATCATACTCTGCTCAGTAAAGTTGCCACATTTAATTTTTCTCTTATAGCTTCTAACGATATTTAACTTTCTAAATAAACATGTTTGATATCGCCAAAACAAAATAAAAAAAAAAACGCTTTGCCCTGCAACATGTTGGTATCGAAATTGTTTAAATTCCGGGCAATTTTGTCATAAAAATAAAATATCAATATACGGAAATGATAGAGCAATTACTAAAGATAATAATAAAACACTAACTTTGGACTTTATATCATTGTGAGCCAAGAGATGTAATGGTTGTCGTTCTCTTCATCTTCTTCATTTCAGAATGACTCAAGATAATTGTTGTAACACTTAGTAAACACAATTAAACTTTTAAAAAACATTAAAACAATAAATTGCGTAGTAAGGATCATTAAAAATGCCATCTGCCTTATTTTGACCCACTGTCTCGTTTTGCCCCGTCTTACCCTACTACTTTTGTTTTTTTAAAAGATATTTAACTTCTATTGCAGTGTGACTAACCCAATAAAGGTTAAAAAATAAAATAATGGTTTTGTAAATAAAACTAATTCTGCATAAAAACTATTTAACCTTTTTTTTTTATCTAAAGTCTACTCAATAAACCTATATCATTAAACCAAAAAGTCAACGATACTCAGATAAAACAAAAAATGTTTACTATCCGAGCGTCTATTTTTTAACTAAAAATTTATAATTTTAATTACTAATTTTTTAATAAAAACCAGTATTTTTTACTTGATTTTACTAATTAGGTAATATTAATAGGAAATATGGAAATAAAACTAAATGTCTTGTTTGGTAAAACCATGGGGCAATATAATGTGCTTGTATTAATTTAAGTTCTGTTTTATTACTGGGAGTACAGTAATAAAACAGAACATATATATACAAATTGTACATATATAAACAAATTGTTGAAAACAAAAGTGAGGTAAGTGTTTTTGCTAATTTATTTACTTTGGCAAAATATCTAAAATTTGCCAAAGCTTTTGATAATGTAACTGACATACAGACTAAGGTTAAAACGATCTTTCGGAATAAACGACAAACTTCTTCAATGGATTAATTCCTTTTTAGTAAGCAGTAAGCAGCACGTTATAATTAGCAATACCAGCTCTGTTTGATTTGATCTTTTTTGTAGTGTTCCTTAAGATTCTGTTCTCAGTCCGTTTGTTTGAATTTTCAGCAATAGCGATCTTGCCCAACTTACTTTTTTAAAAAAATGTTTGCTGACAACACTAAACTTTTTTCGTAAACTAATCTCGTTGATCTGCATAATTGCCAATGCTTGGTACAAGAGTGGTCAAACACTTGGTAACTTTAAAATTTCATTTTTGACTGCTATGATGCAATCTAATCCAAATTTTTAAAATAGTACGGGGTTTTGATATAATTAATGATATAC